GTTGAACATGGTGGCGTGAACAGTAGAGTTGAGCATGGTGGCGTGAACAGTGGAGCTGAGCATGGTGGCATGAACATTAGAGTTGAGCATGGTGGTGTGAACAGTAGAGTTGAGCATGGCGTAAATAGCAGAGTTGAGCATGGTGGCAAGAATGGAGTGAAACCTTTGAGAGTGGAGCCTTTGAGATATTCATTTGCTGATGGGCCACAACTCAGATAAGAAGAACCAGCTGCAAAATTCTGCTAATAATCCCAACTTGAAATATATAAAATGTGAATCTACGAATACTGACAGTTGTCAAAATGAAATGGAACTCCTACAGGTTGATATCCTAGGCATAGTGAGCTGAAATGGACTGATAATGCACTGGAATCAGAAAATCGTGTTTACTCTGCCAGGAGTACAGTCAAGAGCAATGGCGTTGAATTCATTGTCAACAGGACATTTCAAGATCTATGTTGAAGTACAATGCTGTCTGTGACAGCTTCTCTGATAAGTTTTCAGCATATGTATTGATGAAGTCGGCTAAGAGGATACAATCCTGATGCACACCTTTCTTGACTTTAAACCATGCAGTATCACTTGTTCTGTTCCCACAACAGCTTCCTGATCCATGTACAAGTTCCACAGAGGCACAGTGAAATGTTCTGGAATTCCCCTTTCTCTCAAGGCTATCGATAGTATGTTATAATCCACACAGTTGAATGCCTTTGTGTAGTTAATAAAACACAAGTAAAAATCTTTCTGGTATTCTTTGCTTTCATATACTTGGTTTTATTTTTCTTTGTTTATTATCTGATATCCCCTACTAACTTCCCCGACTAACTTACTACTTACTAAAGTGTAAGAACCAAGAGACTAGAAATACTTTCTATCTTTTTCATCCTTATAAGCTTATCTTCTAGAACACAGAAATCCTGGCATATAGTAGGAAGTCAGTCAATAATTGTGTGAACGCTATGAGACTCGCAAGCCTTATGTCACTTCCTCTTTCATACCTCAGGAGGATTTTAAGAAGCCAACTTGATCCGCTGAAATGATATTAGACAGCACGTCAGTTTGAATCAGCACATTTGCGTGAAGGGTCTTCTGTATTCATGCCTGGTCTCTCTTCCCTTTCCAGTTATAATGTCAGTTGCAAAACAAAATGGTCATCCACTAACTTATGTGTTATGGTTCCTGTCTTATTTTTTTGTTCACATGTTCTCTGCCATTGTTCTTCACCTTCACTTATATAAATCCTATCTTTCCTTTATTAACAAAAATAGAATCAAATGTCAATGTTATTATTAAGGGATTCCTGGTGGTGTAATGGGTTACAAGTTGGGCTAACCACAAACCAGCAGTTTGAACATATCAGTCACTTCCATGAGAGAAGGATAAGACTTTCTGCTCCATAAAGATTTACAGCCTCAGAATTGCACATCCCCCCACAGAAGGGTCGGCGGGAGGAGACGAGCCAGTCAGGGTGCAGTGCAGCAACGATGAAACATACATTTTTCCTCTAGTCCTAAATGCCTCCCCCCGCCCCCTATCATGATCCCATGATATGGGAGAGAAAGGCTCAGCATCCTTGCTGCTTAAGTGCGTTCTGGCTCCTGATGTATCACTGATAGCTATTTTTAATAAACTGGTTTGCTCAAACCAAAGGAATCTGAAAACTGACTTTCACCTCCTAAAACTCCCTTTGAAGTAAGTGTTGACAATAACTGTACATGTCTATGTGCTGTGATGGCCATTTTATACCTTTCTATTTTAAAAGAATGTCTTATGTGTTCTATTTCTAATTTACATAGCCTTTGAATCTGTAAGCTTTTGATCCAAGAAATCCAGTGGAATTACTTGAAATTGCCTTTTGGGGAGGTCAAGAAACCAAGCAAACGGATTCCAACATTATATGAAACACCTCAAACTTCCTTAGCTACATCTATGTATGACATGACTTCACATATTCTCGGGAAAATCCTGCTATTGTAGCATATGTGTGTCTTCTATCAACTATAGTAGATTTGATCATTTACCCAACATAAACCAGAAAACTAGGTGCCATAGAAGTCATGTCAACACCAGTGCATGTCAGAGTAGAACTACATACGTCTTAGAACTTCCAATGGCTGATTTTTCAGCAGTAGATTGCCAGAGTTTCTGAGGTACCTCTGAGTGGACCTGACCCTCCAATGACTCCTAGCATAATTAATGTATTTACTGAAAATGAGCAATAAATTGTTCTCTAGGAAGAAGAAATGAATCTCTTCACTAGTAACAGAAGAGAAATGCTGCCCTCGGTATTTTAGACAATCAGATGTTCTTCTTAAATTCTGCATCAGAGAGAAAATTCTCCCTAGCTTCACACTGGCATCCCTCTATAGTGCAGATATCCTCATGATGAGGATTTCAGTCCCCGATAGCTCATGAACCAGTTTTCCCCACTTATTCCATTCTGTTTTATTTCATCTTAGCTCCTTAGGTTGCAAGGCTTTAGTGAGTTAGCATTTGGGGATGGTTTTACTCTAAACAGTCAGCTATCTTGTGTCTGACAACCACACTAATGCTCTTGCTTAGACATCTGAAAGTCACAAAATACCCACCATTTTCCCTTGCTAAGTCTTTCTACGCACAATTTCACTCAGGTGATGTTTTTAAATCATTGTTTTTCCATATGTAACTTACTATGATCAAAACACAAGTAAAATTTTACTGACTATAATTTAAAAGCAGTTACAAGAATCTGTCCAAAAATCCAAGTGGATATCTAAGAAGACGCAGAACAAAAAATATCATTGATAATCTCACCTGAACATTGGCTGACAGAAGAGCATACCAGGAAGATGTTTATTTGTGTTTTATTGACTGTGCAAAGGCATTTGACTGTGGGGAACATAACAAATTGCAGATAACATTTCAAAGAATAGGAATTACCAAATATACCTAATTGTGTTCCCGCAGTATCTGTACATAGACAAAGAGACAGTCATTAGAACAGGATAACTGTGTGGCTTAAAATCTGGAAATGTGGGTATTAGGTTGTATCCTTTCACCATTCTTAATGTGTGTAATCAGCCTTTACTGGACAAATAATCTTAGAAGCTGGAATATATGATGATCAATGCAACCTTGAGGTTGGAAAAAGATTCAATAACAAGCTGCAGTATACAGGTAGCACAATCTTACTTGCTGGAAATGAAGAGGAATTGAAGCATTTGCTGATGAAGATCCAAGAAAACAGATTTGGCTTACACATTAACATTTTAAAACAAATCCTCACAACTGAACCAATAAGCAACATCATGATAAATGGATTAAATATTAAAGTTGTCAAGCATTTTATTTTACTTGGATCCACAATTAAAACCCATGGAAATAGTAGTCAAGAAATCAAATGATATACTGCACTAGGCAAATCTGCTGCCAAAGACCTACTTAAATGGGGAAAAAAGCAAAAATGTCACTTTGAGGACTAAGGTACCTCTGACCCAAGCCTTGGTATTTTCAATCATCTCTAATGCTAACACTGGATACTTAGCAAAGAGACTGAAGAGCTGATGCATTTGAGTTACAGTGTTGGCAAAGAATATTGACAATGGATTACCAAAATAGCTAACAAGTCTGTCTCTGAAGCAGAACAACCATAATGCGCCTCAGAATGGAAGACAAGACTTCTTCTCACATGACCTGGGCATGTTATCAGAGGGACCAGTCCCTGGAGAAGGACATGGTGCTTAATAAAGTAGATCAGTGACAAAAGGAAATCAATCTCAATAAGGTAGATTAACACAATGATTGCATTAATGAGCTCAACCATGGCAATGATTGTGAGGATGGCACTGGACCGAGCAGTGTATGTTAGCAGTGTATTTCTCTGTCATACGTGGTGTCACTGCAAGTCAGAACCAAGTCAATACGTGGTGTCACTGCAAGTCAGAACCAAGTCAATGGAAAATAACAGTAACACAAGGTCATTGAAACTTAAGCAAAAAAAAAAAAAAATAGCTAGAATGACCTTTTTGTAACAAATAATAATCTTAGTCTGCGTGTGCAATCCCTTCTCCTACTCCAGAAAAACAAAAAAGAGCCTGATAATTCACTTTCCTAAGGCATTCTTGAGCATGGAGGAATAGAGTAATCTGTGGTCCAGAGGACAGTAGGTAAAGGAACGAAAGAGATAATTTAAGGAATTCTTCCTGTAGGACTCGCACTGCCATGCCCTGGACTGCTGGTAGTGTCTGATTACATGCTTGAAAAGCAAAATGTGGCAGTTCAGCATTCCTTAGGAGAACAAAGGTGAGGACAGATTGCTGAATGTCAAAGTCCTTTGATGTTCATTGGCATTAGATACAGTAACTCTCCCAGTCAATCTACTATTCAAAGACTACCAATTTAGTTCATAACAATGGAACCATCGGATATTTCCACACTAGGAATTGGTTGACAACATTAACTTGTTCTCAATCTCTTTATTATGTTATTGATTGCCAATATTCGTTGCCTGTGGCTATCATAGCAGATTGCCACAAACGAGGTGGTTTAAAACAACAGGAATGTTTTCTAGCGCAGTCTGGAGGCCACAGGTCAGAAATAAAGTTGTTGGCAGGATCACATCCCCTCTGGATGCTCCAATGAACAATCTTTTCTTTGGATGGCTATTGATATTCCTTTTGTCTACATCACTCCAATCTCAACCTGTCTTCATGTGACCTTCTCTGTCATCTGTGTCTGTCTCCCCTGGTGGAGTTTATATAAGGATATTTGTCGTTTGGTTTAAGGCTTATCTAGATAATCCAATATTACCTCATTTTTAAATCCTTCACATAAATGACATCTGCAGAAAACACAACACAGCACTTTTTTCAATAAGGCTTGAGGCGTAGGGTGTGGGTGTGGGAAGTGAAAGGTTGTACCACTTAACCCATTGCATGTATATACTAACATGAGAATATAAACTACAATCCTTCTGTCCTCCGTCATCAGTACCCGGGAACTATTGTGTTCTATCCTACTTCCAGGAATGAACCACGCTTTCTAATGTAAGTGATAGGACCCTATTCTTAAGTCATATATATCTATTTACTCTGATACAATTTTTTCTATTCCTAGGGTCATGTGGGTGTACCAGGACCAAGAGGTACCATTGGACAACAAGGGCCACCAGTAAGTTTTTAATTCTTTGTAATTGTGTCATTTAAAAATATAATGAAATTTATTTGGTCCCTGATTCACATGTGATTTCTGTTTTGGTTTCTATTAAAGGGCGAGCCAGGTGAACAGGGTGGACAAGGACTAAAGGGGGAGAGAGGCTCTGAAGTAAGTTGAAGGCGTTTAAGACAAATGGATGTGTATTGAGCTGGAGAAAGCAGGGTCAAAAAAAGTTGTTACTGACTTTAATAAAGTGATCACTCATGTCTCTCACCAGAGCAAGGATAGCTATAGGCATCTAAATGGAGTGTTTGTCAATGCCTGTTCTGATTCATGATTATTGATTGATTCACATGTTTTGATTATCATTCACATTTCGCTTTACCACAGGACTACAATACAGAGGTTTTTTGAAAAGTGCCTAAAGTTATTTAAAGCAAAAATATCAATGAGCCTTTAAACCATCATTACAGACTGCAAAACATATCAAATGATTTAGTTGTATTAGTACGGTATGTGTGGTGAATGCAAGTTTAACTATGTGACCCAGACTTAAAATTGGTTTACAAGATTGTTTTTAAATGCCATACCTTTGCTGCTTAAAGATTCGCCTGCCTCCATTATCAGCCAGTATCTGTCTTCCCCCAGCTTGATCCATCTCCCTGTGTGCCCACTGCTTTTGTAAAATGCCACTGAAAAAGGATTAGGCCTACAACCACCCCTATTTGGGTATGATTTAACAGAAAATAAAAGGAAAATCCTATTCCCAAACAATCTGATGCTCATAGATCCAGGGGTTGGAAGTTCAACATATCTTTGAGGGGGGGGGGGTGTTGGGAGGGGGGTGGCTGTTAACAGAATTCAATTCATAGCAGAGCCTTATCTATTGCTAAATTGTTTACATGTCTTTGGAAAATAGACATCTTTAAGTCACTTTTCTTATACCCTTTCCCATTACTTACATAGTTTTCTGGTTACACATAGTTGACGCCACTTTTTAAGGCAAGTAAAAATTGGAGGTGAAATTTCAGGCAAGTAAAAATTGGAGGTGGAATTTCTGATCCACATCTTTAAAAAACTCACTGACATTCTGATTCATAGTCACCCAATAGCACAGAGTTGAATCATCGCTGTGGATTTCTGAGACTAAAACTTGACAGGAGAAGAAAGCTTCATCTTGCTCCCTAGGAAGTCTTGGTGATTTCGAACTGCTGACCTTGAGCAAGGGTAGTAGTCCAAGCTGTTACCCACCACTCCACCAAGACTGATATGTGATATAGGCATCCTTATATCAATCACCCCAGATTAAATATCAAATGCTAGCATACTTTTGTTTTTTTAATCTCTTATGAAAAATGCCCCCATTTTTTCCAGGTAACAAGATATATTAATTCTTAAAATGTTTAAGATCATTTTCAGAAGATAGAGCATCTGAAGTTGTTGCTAAATGGACTTGTCCATAAAATTGTCTTTGATCTGACTAACTTAGTATCTCATTTTGCGGGAATTATTTTGTTTCTGAGAATTTCTGAAGATTCCTGAGTAACATTCCCGTGTTAACACTAGATTTTTTTTCATTGGTGAATGACATCATTCTTTTCCATATTTTCCTTCTTAAAATAGTTTTTGGATGCCATCGGCACAATGGCATGATGTGGAAAGGCAAAGCCCCTAACTATCCGGGCAGACGAGTTACTGCTGAAGCAATTAGGATTTAAGACATCTCCTACATGGAAAAACAAACAGTTCTGTGGGAAACTTGATGCATAAGTGTGTTCCCTCTGTGTGTCCAGAGAATCACATTCAGGCCATTGGTTCATGTCCCATCCTCCAGTGCCAGTCTCTTGTGAGCAGGAACTTTGCCTGTGCATTTCCCTCCATCTCAGAGTTCCTGGTACATCATTCTCCATGGGTGTTTACTGAATGAAATGTTGTCCCATTTCAGGAGGAAACCAAGGCCTTGCCTGAGGGTGGAAATATTTTTTAAATAATAGATCCCTTTAAAAAATAATGATTTAAGGAAGGGGGACTAGATGGAAAGTCATAGTTTATCTGGTCAAATTCTCATATTTTCAGAAGAAGTGGGAGATTCCCAGAAAGGTTAGATGGCGATCCCAATTACGTACTAGTCAGTGAGTGGAAGGACTTGCAGCAGCATCCAGGTCTTTTCGATGCCTTCAGCTTCTGATCATCAGTTGATGTATCAGTCTAGGTACTTTGGAGAAACAAATCCACACCAATTCACGTATAAGAGAGTTTTATGCAAAGAAAATGTGCATCACGAAAATATCCCAACCCAATGCTGCCCAAGCCCACAAGTCCAACATTAACCCATACCCAACACCAGTCCACAAAGTCCTTCACCTCACAAAACAGAGGCAATAATGCCGACTGCAGAAGGAAAGCTGAGTCAGTGAACGTGTAAGCATCTCAGCACTGGCAGGGGTCTCCACATGGCTGCTCCAGCACCCAGGGCTGCATCGGGATAGATCCATGCGGCTTCTCCTTGGGGATGTCTTGTAGGAAATCCATCTTGCAAGCTGAAGCAGGGAACTGCTAAGGCAGCTGCACCCGATGCAACCATCACAAAACAAGAGACCCGAAAACTAGAAAGGCGAGGCTTCACCACCCATTTATCCCTCCGCCTTTCAACCAGACCCACATGTGACTATCGGCCAGGCTGGCACAATTAACTAACTCAGTTGACAAGTGTGCTTCACATTTTTAGGGTCCTAAGGGGAAAAAAGGAGCAGCTGGTCTATCTGGGAAACCTGGGATTTCTGTAAGTACCTGGTCTTTTTATCATCCTTATGTTTCTAAATAGAATAGGCAGCTTGAACAAGAAAACGTTTGGAGCCAATTATAACAACTGTTGGGAAAATCAGATTGTTATTTTAAAAAAATAAATAAGCAAAAACAAGATATTATCATCTAACCCAAAAGCAAGTTTGTTCAAAGCAAATCCCTGTGATTGAAGGATGCTCTTTAAAAAAAAAAAGTTTTATTGGCACATAATTCATATCTCACACAATCGAATAGTTCAGTCATATCAAGAAGAGTGGTGCAATCATTACCACAATCAATTTTAGAACATTTTCTTCTTTCTCGGACTCATTGTTGTTAGCTCCTCATTTCTGCCCTACCTACCCTGCCACACACCCCAAGAAACAATTATGAAGAATGTTGTTTTCCTGTGTTACTCGGCCCTCTCTGATGAGGAATCTCTGAGAAATAGGGAGTGTGGACTCAGGGGTGAAGGTCAGAAATCTTTAAGCAATAATTTAAAAGGCATGAGTTGAATTTTAATTGGATGAATTGACCTCTCCTTCTTTTGGCAAATAGAACAAAAGGTCTTAGATAATTTTTTAAAATATCTTTCCATCACAGAACAGAGATTAATTTTGCATTACTCATCAGTAAGATACTCTGGCCAGGAAGGTGTGTGTTGACAGACTTATTAGCAAAGACTTCCTGCTATAGCCTCCCCTAGCCAGAAACTAGATGCCTATGTGGGGTGGCCTGGGTTGGCTCAAAAAGTGTAGAGAGAAAATGAACATAAATTATAAGCACATTCAGACCACAGTACACTTCTGATAAAATCCAATTTCCCTAGAGTAGAAACAATATGTTAAGACCTTTTCTCAGTCTTATAATTAGCTGATTCTAAGTGCCAGTAAAAAGAACAATAATTTATATTTTTGGAAAATAATAACTATGTTATTTTATAGGTGAATAACAACCTCCCCCCTAAACTGACAGGTGTATGTAGCTGATCTTTTCTCCAAAGCTGGGTAAAGCATGGGCCAATATAGTGAGAAATACCACAGAGTTACATTAAAGTGGAAAAGTTTACATAGTAAATCAGCTTAACCTTTGTGTTTAGGAAACTTTTAAAAATGGTCAGCAAATCCTGCTCTTTTGTATGCAAATATTAAATCACTTAAGAATCCAGGAAGAGGAAAATTTGTCCTGGGATAGGGTATTAAAACTATGTATACTTTTCTCCTCTAAAAATATTTGCTATTTAAATATCTATACAGCAAATGTCTATAATTCAAATAACTTTTCATTGTCAAGGGACTTCCAGGCCTACCTGGGCCAAAGGGGATGAAAGGATACACTGGAATTGATGGTATCTCAGGAACACCTGGAAAAGTTGGGTTGCCAGGAAAACAAGGACTTCCTGTGAGTAGTTTGAATATCTCTTTTCTTATGTCCAAGTGTGTTCTAGGTCTACAAATGTGTTTCCCAAAGTGGGTGATACTGCCCCCAAAGAGGCATTGAAACGATGCAGGAATGAGTGCAAAAACAGATACCTACACTTTATCCTGGATTATGGGTTATCGTATGACATTTTTTCATTGCTGGGGAGGTGGGTACTGGCTCAGTAATTTTTTTTCTGAAAATGGAGTGGTATACCAAACAAAATTAGGAACCTATTTTCTAGAAGATGGCTATTTTGGCTATTTTCTTATTTTCTATTTTTGGTATTGACTCACAATAAACTAATCATTTCTTGAATGGCTGTTTACAAGTTGTACTTATGTTTGTACCAAATTGATTTCCAGATATCAATAGGGACATTTTCTTGCCTATTTCATATCTAATAACCTGTAGAGTGTGTCTTAGGCTCTCTAAAGACACAGAACCAGTGAGACGTATATGTGTATGTTTATATATACTCACATATGCAAATATAGATGATTATATTAGACATAATGATATATAGTATTTTATGTTATAAAATTATATGAGTATTAATTATATTTAAATTTATTATATTTTGAACCAATAAAAAATATATTTGCTCAAAGCAAGACTTTATCATTATATTACCATTAAATGAACACAGAAAATATTCAATGCTTATAAAGTACTAAGGCTGTAAAAAAAGTAACAACAGTGAATGATTTTTGGCAGACTCTATCTTGAGATATTGCCAAGGCCTAAATGTTTCCATGTTTATACATGTATATCTGTAAAGGTTGGGCTGCCAGAAAAACAGGGATTTCCTGAGTAGTTTGAATGTCTCTGCTTTCTATGTCTTAGATGCACTAGGACAATGTTTCATACACACACAACCTGACAGAGTTTGGAGCTCAGCAGTGTCTTTGGAACAATTAGGCTCTGGCAATAACTCAAGATAGATTCTGACAAAAATCATTTACTATACTTTTACAACCATAGTACTTTACAAGAATTGAGTGAATCCTTTCCCTGTGTTCATTTAGCGGTGGTTTTAATGACATAGCCTTATTTTATGCAAATGTTAACATTTTTCATGTGTGTGGAAATATAAAAATCCTGACATCTTGGCCTCACTTAACCTCTTTCCTTCTCCAATGTCATCCTGATCCAGATATGTTTTTATTACCACAGGACGTGTTTTCACTCCAAGTGTCACATGAATTAGCCACACATTTCAAGAACCCAGTACATTTTACCCCGTAATTTGCCCTGTATCATCTGAGTCCTAAATGCCAATGGAGGAAGAGAAAAGAGATCTTTATTTATTTTATTCTTCTCTTTATATTTGTGCTTTGTTTTTAATCCTAGGTTTAGACAGTTGTTGAGCTAATTATATTAATTTAGAACCTTTTTTCCTGTGGTAATAATTTCTTTTAGAAGGATTAGTACCAGACTAGTCCTAAAGAGTTATAGATTGGAGATGTCCCAAATGCCCAACTCTTCCAGTACATGACGTTGTTCCACTTTCCCCACTCCTCGTCCCTGGGTTCTGTGATTTGCTGCAACATTTCACAGGAACTCAAGAAACTTTGAAGAAATGTCTCGTGTGGTCATGGGTGCTGTTCAGTCCAAAATCTGAGTGTCGGTCATAGGGGAAACAGATACAGAACCCAGAGCCAGAAACTAAAAATGTCCCACGGCCACAAGAGGCCTTCTTGCTTTCACCAAAGCTCAGTCGGGAAACAGAGGCCAGGCTTTCGAGGTGAAGTGATGAATGTGCAGAATTATGTGGTGCCACCATTATATCCACACGCAAAACAAAGAGTGTGGCCGATCCAGACCCTCTCCTGAGGTCAGCTCTGAATCCCACCCTCTTCTTGTTCTTTGGTAGGGAAGGCCACCCAATGAGACGATAGCCAGAGGCTTGTAAAGTCCAGAATTAGAAACATCGCATAAGGATACAGGCTACGAGGACCACGTTATTTGGCTATGATTCATGGTCAGACTCCAGTTTTTGCATGGACAGCCTATTCTTTGACTGATTCATTTACTTTTATCCCATTCTCACTTCCTTCTCCCTAATATCTGCGTTTATATATAATATATATACGTGTATATATAATAAATATATATACGTGTGTGTATATATATATTATTATTGGAGGTATAGGTCCAAAAATACAGGAGTGTTCATTGTGTATTTGTCTTTCATTATGTGAATTGTTTCTTTTTACCCTAAGCACTAAATTGTTAACACTATATTGCTATAGTATGTCAGCTTTGTCATAAAGTGTTATACATCAATCAGGGAATTCTGACTGTTGTACAATACTTCATTCTGTGTATTGACTACTTCTTACCTCACAGAACTACTTTTAGTAGGAACAGCAAACCGACGTCCAAAATATGTGTCTTCCTGTGGGGACAATCATAGTCACCTCCAGCGAGTTCTGCTGAGAGCATTTCCATGTTGGAAGCTTGATACTGACCTGTGTGTTTGGCAATGTGGGCACTTGGCAGGGGTGTTAGCCAAATCACTCTTGATGAGGAAACGTCACATGGTTGGACTCTTACCTATGGGCCCAGTGAGTATGATTACAATGGGGCAAAAATAGCATTAACTGACGTCTTCACGATGGGCCATCTTGTTTGTCCAATGACTGTATTTACTAGTAAGAATTTACATGGAATATAAATATGCTCACACTCCTATCCCATTGCAAGAGCTCCATATACATCTCCGTTCCCAGTCCTAGTCTTATCCCTAGTCTTTCAGCGGTATATCCAAATCCCTGACTAACTGATCAAATTAACCCTCGGAATTAGCATAGTTCCATAACTCGGGCCATTTCTCTTATTGCCTTACCCCAAATTCTGCCCCTTGGAAAGAGTTCCCCTCACTAAACTCTTTCAGAAGGTAATGCCGCAACCTTCCACTTCTGGTTGATGTTTTCATTCCACACAGAGCCATCCATAAATCAGGCTCAGCTTTCCCCCCACCCCATTAGCGGGTAAGCAGAATTCCCCAGGAAGGCTAAAGGTCGGAGCAACGGCAAAGCAGCAGGAACAAGTTCCAGGGTGTTCCGATTGCCTGCTCATGCCTTTTACGTGTTTCTCTGAACCTGGGAGAGGCCAATCTCAGTATACACGACGTCCTCGGAGAGGGGAACGCCGCTGTGCACATCCCAGTATAGGTTTCATTAGAGCAGTTACCACCCAGCTTATATTGGACAGGTGAGGGCCCGTCATTTCAGTTTCAACTGGAGTAATTCTAGAGCTGCTTTCCAAGTGGAGGTTTATATTTGATGGAAGAGAGCAAGACTTATATTCCAAACCTTGTTTAGATTTTATATGAGGTAATAACAAAGTGCCACATACTGACCGTAACAGCCAGAAGATTCTTCTGATCTTGGATCTGGTGTAGCTGAATCTGCTGTAGAGCCACTTCTTGCTTCAGTGCCCATTCCAGCAACATTAAAGAATACCCAGCAAATAGGTAGAAATGGCATACGCACATGAGGTATAAGCAGATTCCAGAAGCCAGAGAGGTGTATCAAATCTTGTCATTGTTAGGTACCATTGGGTTGGTCCTAACCCAGGGTGACCTATGTAAAATAGATGGAACACTTCCTGTTTCTGCACTATCTTCATACTTGTTGCTGCAGCCACTGTGCCCATCCATCTCATTGATGATTTTCCTCTTGCATTGAACCTGCATTTTACCAAGCATGATGTCCTTCTCCAGAAACTGGTCTCTCTTGATAACATGTCCAAAGTACGTGAGACAAAGTCTCTCCAACCTTGCTTCTAGGAGCATGCTGCCTGTACTTCTTCCAAGATGAATTGGGGTTTTTTCTCTAGTAGTCTATGGTACTTTCCATATTTTTCGCCAACATGATCATTCAAATAGAGCAATTCCTCTTCGGTCTTCTTTATTCATTTTCCATCTTTCATATACATATGAAGTGATTGCAAAATGCCCTGGCTTAGGTCAGGTTCACCTTAGTCCATTAATTGTCATAGTCCTTTATTGCAGGGTAAAGTGAAACTACTTGTCTCCACTTTCAGAAGGGTATCATCATTTGTCCCCAAACTACTGCTGTTAGGAACTTGGCCTATTTGGCACTTCCCCTGAACATTTTTATTCTTATCCTCTTGTACATCTCTAGGGTGCTTGGTTTCGGTTTTGTTGTTGTTTTATATATATATATATATATATATATATACCATATCATTCCATAATTCAATCATGTCAAGTACAAGTGTACAACTGTTACCACAGTCAGATTCCAAACAATATTTACCTGTATGGACTCCTTTTATATATATATATATATATATATATATACCATATCATTCCATAGTTCAATCATGTCAAGTAGGATTGTGCAACTACTACCACAATCGGGTTCCAGACATTCTTTTTCTGCAGGGATTCCTTGACATCAGCTCCCTTTTATCCACCCCCATTGCCCACCACCGCTGTATCACCCCCCCTCCTCCTGAAACCCTTATTCTACTTTTTTGTTTCCCCTCCATGTTCAGTTAACCTAATGCTATCCATCTAAGGGCACGACATGATATTTTGTAAGATAGCAATGTTGTAAAGGTATCTTTCTTGCCTCTTGATGACAAAGAGAAGAGTTGAGTTGGCATGGCATTGGGGTAAGATAATGAAGGAATGCTGTGTTTCTTTCCACGTGAAGACAAACGGTTTCTGATTATCTTTACTGATAGGAATGTGGACAGAAAGCA